GAGGCACATCCCCTGCCCAACTGCCCTCCGCTCTGAGTCAGGGGAGGCAGGACCTGCCCCTGGGGCCTGTCCAGGCAGTTCTCCCACTGCAGGTGAGAGGGGTCGGCTGGGAGTGGGTGGGCTGGAAGGAGCCCTGGAAGCAGGTGGGGGCCCTTGGAGGCCTCGCCCCACAAACCCCAAGCACATGTGGGATGTGGCAGTCCTTTATTTAGAACATTGCGGGGCTGAGGGACCCTCAGGGCAGCCCCGAGCTGAGGACCCCCATTCCACTGCAGGGCAAAAAGGGACCAGGCCCAAGGAGGCCACCTTCTGCCCAAGGTCCGAAAGCAGAGAAGGTCTTGCAGGCGGCCCAAGGGCGCCGAATCCAGGTCCCAGAGCGCAAAGCCTTCCTCCCGGGGGGAGGCAGTTTCCCATCCACCGACCAGGCTTCCCTGGAAAAGTCCCAGCACAAAAGCAGCAGAAGCAGGCAGCCACAAAGGCTCGGAGGACAGCGGGCCACCGGGTGCAGCAGAACGAAGCTGGGACCCTCACTTCTGGGAGAGGATCCTCGCAAACTCCTCGTAGTTCACACGCCCATCCTGGTCCACGTCGGCCTCGCGGATCATGGCATTCAGCTCCTCCTGCGACAGCTGCTCCCCCAGCTTCTCCATGGCCTGCTTGAGCTCGTCCACGGTGATGTGGCCGTCGCCGTCCAGGTCGAAGGCACGGAAGGCGGCCTGCAGGTCCTCCAGGCCGATCTTGTGCTTCTTCACCACCTCCAGGAACTCCGAGAAGCTGATTTCGCCGTCGCCGTCTCTGTCCAACGTGGCGATGAGCTCCCTTATCTCGTCCTCCGTGAGATCGTTTCCCAGGTACTTCATTGCCTCGCTCAGCTCCTGGGCGTTGATAGAGCCGTTTCCATCCGAGTCGAACTCAGAGAAGGCCTGCTTGTACTTGGCCACCTGCTCAGAAGTCAGCTCGCCAGCCATGCCTGCGTCCCTGCACCTCGCGGAGCCTCCAAGCTACTGCCCACCGGCCCTCACCTGCTGCTCTCAGAGCTCGTGGTCCAGAGTGCAGGCAGCCGCAGTGATCCGTGGCAGCGTCTGTCCCAGGCAGCCCTGCTTGGCATGGAGCCCCCTCCTTTTCTGCAATCAGAACAAAGGGAGGAGGAAGGCTCCCCACCCTCCAAATGCCCGGGGGTGAGAGCCTCCTCCCAGGGAGGGACAGATCAGCTGCAGACAGGAAATGCAGGAATGGGAGTGGGAGGGCTCTTAGGTGCCCAGGAACTGGCATGGGGTTGGGGAATGGGATGGCTAGCCTGCCAACCCCTCCTGGCCTTGACAGCAACCACCTCCCTCCAGAACATTCTGTCCAGTGGCCAGTTTCCCCTGCAGCTGATTCGCAGAGATTCTGAGCAAGCCAAGGGTTCAAGACAGCTTCTCCAGCTTCACAAAGGCCCAGCCTGGAGAGGGAGAGGGCTTGAAGAGATCTCCCTCAGGGGTGCAGTGTTTGGCATTTCCATACCCCTCTCGGGAGCTAATGCCTAGCTCTTGCCCTGAGACTGGGGCTGGTGGAAGGGAAGTGGGTGGTAGTATTGATTCTGCAGGGCGCAGCTGTGGGCATCGTCCAATTCCCAGTCGAGGGTCTAGAGACAGAGGATGGGGCTCGCTGCCTTTAACTTCAAGGAAGCAAGGGACCAGGGCTGCCTTCAGAGCCGCAGCTGGTGCTGAGATGTTGTTTATCAAGTGAACATGATGTGTGATTTCAGAAGAGAGGGAAAAACTTTTTTTCCCAGAATACTTTTTTTCCAGTCTCCCCAGAATACTCCCTTCGAGCTCAGGGATTCCCAGAATTCAGTTCCATTGCCAAGTCCAAGGTTCCCGGTGCAGCTTCCTGCCTCTGGGGAACTGAGTGGCAGCTGTTCCGTTTACAGGGGGTCAAACGGCTGCAGGTGGAGCCTTGCTGCAGCAAGACATGGGGGCCTCAGTGTGCAGCACACCCCAAAGGCGCAGGCAGGGGCAGGAGGAGCAGAGCCGGTGGCTGCCCAAGCTTGGCCTTCCTTGTGGTTTTACTAAGTGTTGGCCCTAAGCACAGAAACCCCCCGGGAACCTACCGGGGCCCTCGGTCTGGCCTGTTCTCTGAAAGGAAATCCCTGGGCCCACTGCCTTGAGCTGCTCTTGGGGCAACAGCTAAGCTTTCGGGAGACCATCCCCAAGTCCTTCCATCCATGTGACCTACAGTTGTGAAGGGACATTTGCCTTGGAGTCCCCAAGATGACTTTCTCAAGAACATCCCCTCCGAGCGCCACAGATTCCTATTCTTCTTCCCAACCCCTGCCTGTACATAGGGAACAAACTCCTTCATTCTCCTGAGAAAGCTGATACATCCCACCTCCCTCCTGTTCAGCCCATCACATAGACCAAGTATGCTCTGCTCCCCTAAAGTGCAACCAGACAAACACCTCCCAGCCCCTCAGTGCTTCCCACGCTCCCCAAGGGAAGCCAGAGACTGCGGTGCCCAACCACTCACCCCATGACCCACAGCCAGTCCCCCAGGGCCACGTGAGGGGCAAACACAGAGCAGTGAGAGGAGGGAAGCTGCTCCAGCCAGCCCTGCTGTGGCAGCTGCTCCCTGAGCTGTGTGTGAGGGGACAGAGGAAGGGTGGGAAGGGCTTGGAAGAGCTGCAACAGAGGGAGAGGCTGAGGTTTGCAGAGAAGGAGCTCCCGGGACCCAGTGAAAAAGGGAAGGTCGTGGTCAGTAGGGAGGGGGTCACCCCACCGGAGTTCAGGGGGACCCAGCATAGAAAGAGCTACAGAGAGGAGGGTCCCAGTTGTCTAACTCATTTTATAAAGATGTCTTGAAGATTTTCTAGCTCACCTCAGTAGTGGAATAATACAGAGGCCTCAATAAATATTGAGTAACCAATTTCTCAATGAAACTGACAACCGGTTTTGGGTGGAGAATGTCGGTCCAGCCAGGAGATGAGGCCAGAGGGGCGTCCTGCCTGGCGAGGGCCTGGAGAGGGTGGGACTCTGAATAGCTGGATTCAGCCCAGCTCCCTGTTTTATTTCCTTAAAGAATACCTGAGGACTTAAATCTGTATTTGCAATTTCCTTTCCTTCTCATCTTGTTGATGGGACCTGTGATTAAAATCCAGATACTTAATAATTATTTCATATCATTTTTCTCAGGTATTAAATACTACTTTGCAAACAATATTAGGAGACTTGAGCTTCCAGTTTCGTCAGTGATGTGGAAACGTGTGTCTCGATATCCTCATCCATAAACTAGGATGATGCACCCACCGTATCTGATCGGATCGAGCAGGGTTGGAGTATTAAGTACAGACCCAGCGGCCGGTGTTATTACCCTACGATAAACCTCATGGTCAATAACAAGCTGGTTCCTGTTCGAGGCAAACCTACCCTTGGGAAAACATGTACTTGAAGGGTATCTCACATTTTTGTGATTCTTCCTCTCTCGACTGAACTGCAAAAATCAATTCAATTCAGTTCAAGCCAAGGCTCAGAGCGTTTGCTGACTTTTCAGTGTCAGCTCCAAACAGAGGCAGTTCCAGTCGGAGCAGAAGCATCTGTTTAGAAAAAGCCTCAGGCTGTCTCGTCGCGAGGCAGGACGATGGTCACTATTCTCTCACAGTGTCCCGTAGGGAAAGTCCCCTGACTTCTCGCTGGGTGCTTCCCAACCCGGGGTCGTTTCCTCCCTAACGCATTCTCTTTTCAGAGCATGTACCAGCACAGAGATCATTTGTTCCATCCGCCCCACAGCCTCCCGTCGCAGTATGCAAGCCGTCAGCTGCCTTGGCTCAGCCTCTGTGGGTGAAGGTTGCACTCCCTTCCTTTGGGGTCAGCACTAGGGACACCAAGGACAGCCATGCACGAGTGACCCCCATCACAGAGGGCGTGGCACAGCCCAAATGGGGGCTCCCAAAAGGGGACAAGATGGCATTTGTCGTCACACCTAGACGAGCTTGGTCAAGCCCCTCTGCCTTGGCGGTTTAGCACAGCAGCTGGTGTGGAGCCTGGCTTTGAGGAGGGAGAAACGCCTTCTTTCCAGCTAAGGTGCACTGCCAGGCGATGCCTCCTGCGCATATCCCTGTGTGAGCAGGGGCCAAGGGCATCATCTGTCCTCCACTCCATGAAGAGCCCGAAGCAGGGGTGCTCAGCCACTGGCTTTATGTCCCACAGCTGAGCTCCCCCAACCCAGGGACCCCAAGAGAAGCAAACCCAGCAGAGCGGTGAGGAGAAGAAAAATGCCCCAGCCAGCCCTCACGTGTCGGCTGCCCCCTGAGCTGTGTGCGAGGGGTCTACGAGAGCTGCAGAAGGCTGGGAAGAGCTGCAGCAGAGGGAGAGGCTGAGGTTTACAGAGAGGGAGACAGGGACCAGGTAAGAAAGAGAAAGTCATGATCAGCACAGAGGACGGAAGTGAGGGGGTCGCAGGGAGATGGTGTTTTGTGATTGAGTGCTGGAAGTCGGTTCTTCTGCCCTCTCCCTCGCCTCTCAGCTGAGCTCCTCATGGAGACAGCAGCTATCCCTGCCACCCTGGAGGAGAAAGGGGGTCTCTTTCATTGAGGAGGATTGAAGACATCCGCACTTGCTGTAGGAAGGATAGAAACCTCTGTAAGGCGGCTGCACCGGTCCCCAGAGGCAGGAAGGGGAGAGTTATCATCAGTCATGGGACTGCCTTGTGCAGTAGCTGTGTGCACATGTGCTTTTGTGTATGTATGTAGGTGCGTGGTGGGCAGGGGAGGTGTGCGGTGTGTAGGGGAGGTGCGCGTGTGTAGGTGTGGGTTTGTGTGAGCATGTGAGTGCAAGTGTGCCTCGTGTGTGTGTGTGTGTGTCAGGAGGAGTTATGTAGGGTGTAGGGTGGTTGTCCTTCCTTCAGGAGAGGCCAACTCTAGCTTTCATACCAGACTGACCCCAAGAACAAAAACACCCTCTGGCACTTCTAATACGGTTTAGCTCCTCAGTGCGGAGAAACCAGTCAAACAGGTCCCGGAGCCTGGGCCAGAGCAGGGACTCCTCTCACAGGTCTGTGTTTGCAGAAACTGATCTCACTTGGGACCTGTGCACAGCCCGACCTTCTCTAGGGACAGGGCAGCCCCGGGGCAATGAAAAGGGGCTATGTGGAGGGTGCAATCTATGGAAGAGAACGCCAGGGACCCAGCTACACAGAGCTCATCTCCCCTGCAATTATCCTCAGCAATGAGCAATAGAAATGGTGAGTGATTGCGCCGGCTTCACAGGTAGCTGGCTCCAATACCTCTGTCCTCGATGCTCCCGCACGCCGCGCACCTCTGCTACACACTACACACTTCCCCTACACACCGCGCACCTCCCCGCACACCGCGCACCTCCCCGCGCACCGCGCACCTCCCCGCGCACCGCGCACCTCCCCCGCGCACCGCGCACCTCCCCGCACACCGCGCACCTCCCCCGCGCACCTCCCCCGCACACCGCGCACCTCCCCCGCGCACCTCCCCCGCGCACCGCGCACCTCCCCCGCGCCCCTCCCCGCACACCGCGCACCTCCCCCACACACCACACATGTTCCCAACAGCGTGTGGTCGGATCACTGGGGTCAGCTCCCGGCTTCTGCACTTTGCTACCTGTGCGGCCTGGGTGAGCTGCTCCACCCCAAATGCTGCGTGCTTCCTGGTGAAGAAGATGGTACCAGTACGTGCCTTATAGTAGCCTTGAGAGGGTCAAGGCCCTGCAAGAAAGCCTCTGCCCAGCACCTGGCGAGAGCAAGCACTCAGCAGGCAGGAGCTGCCCGACCCTCCTCCACCCCCACCCACACCTGCTCCCTGTTGGGTGCTGCTCCAGGCTGCTTCCTGGCCAAAGCAGACGTACCCTCACTGCATACTCAGGTGCCAATTCTAAGTTCTCAGGGCTTCAGCTGAATGAAGAAACACCTGATATCACTGATGCCATGGACGGCATTGGCCTTGCTGTCCACTGCACTCCTGGCATCTGCCATATAGACCACGTGTGTGGAACACGCTTGACAGAGGCACATAATTCTACAGGAAATCGCAGGGTGAGGAGTTGGAGGGTAGAGAGCTCCGTTCCAGTCCCTGTCCAATCAACAGTGTGATTCTTAGGCTACAACAACCTGAAGTCACACCAGGGTGTTCCCTGGGCAAAGGGCAGAGCCCCCATTCCCTCTCCTGGGAGGATGCTCGTGGATTCTCGGGGGGAAGAGAGGCTCTGGAGCTGGCGTGGGTTGCTATTTATACAGTGCCCGCAATCTGTCTAGACTTGCTGGGTTACTTGGCAAGAGCAGTCCTCCCCCAGACTCTGACCCATCAATGACACACCTGGGAACCTGGCAGGACACCCCTGGCTCTGTGTCCCAGACCAGAGCCTGCTCATCGGTCCCCCCCCCCCAGCCCTGGTTCTTGAGAGAGGTACTTACCCAAGAACTGAAATATTTTAACTTGGACCGTGTTGGAAATCTAACGTGGATTATATGTTTTATTCCCTGTCACCATAAACAAATTAGATGGAGTATAATCCCAGTGGTTTAAAATGATACATAAGACCCTCTATTCACTGTGCAGAGGTTTGCATGGGGTCTGCCATACATGAGACAGTCCCGGTTGGCGGTGATCTCCCAGGTGGTCCTTCCCACCTGCTGTCGTGGGGTAGGTCCCTCTTCCTCTCCCTCTCCCGTGGGTCTTCTCAGCATGTCCTGTGCCCCTCTTCATTTCACAGCTACTATTGGCAGAACTTTTAAGGCAGAACTCAAAGTTGTCAAGAAATAAAGAAATTAACCAAGCTTATAAATCGGCAGTGTTCGTGAAATAACGCTAAGAAAGCAATCATTCTGAGGGTGGTGCTCAGGACAGCCGATGTATTTCAGGATTCAGAACCATATTCTGAAGCGTGAAGATTGCCGTGAGCCTGAATGCTGGACAAGGTCAGGGATGGTGGGGATCCTGTTCACTGCTGTCACACACACGTACAAAAACTCTTCGGAGAAGTTTAGACCTAAACAGCTAAATGCAAGTAGATGGATGCAAGTGAGAGGTGAGAGAGGAATATATTTAAATAATTCTGGAAACCCAGAAGTTATCAAAGAAAAGGTAGGTATATTTGAGTACGTATAAAAAAGGGAAAACCTTTTGTATGAGCAGAAAAAAAAAAAGACTATAGATAAAAATGATAGATCTTGGGGGAGATGATAACATACAAAGGATTTCATATACAAAGAGCTTTGAAATTGTCAAAACTACAACAATAACAATTCAATAGGAAAATGAGCCAAGGATGTAAGTAGCCAATTCACAGAAAAGCAAATTCAAATGGCCAACCAACAGTAAAAGACGCTAAACTTCGGCAGCAGAGGAGGAAGTGCAAACTGAGATATTAATGAGGCATCATTTCACGCCCGATCTAGCTGGCAAAAATTGAATTAATTAAAATACCTACTGCTAGAGAAGATATGAAGACATTGTTATCCTTCCACATTGCTGGTGAAAAGGTCAGATCTGACGGCTTTATTCTTAGTAACCTGGCAATGTGTCATGTATTACAACTAATAACAGGATTTTACATTGTGAACAAAAATCTAGGATGTTAATACAGGTTGCAGAGATACCGATAGGCAGAAGAGGGGGTGAAAAGATGGAAAAGGCTGAATGATATGGTCATTGTGTGTGGGGGGGGTGTGGGAGTGTGCGTGTGTACGTGTGTGTATGCATGTGTACAAGAAACTGGATGAAACATTTTTAAAGGATCTTTGTTTTGCTAAGTATCTCCTACTTCTTTTTCTTTTTTTTCTTTTTTGAGACAGTGTCTCGCTCTGTCACCCAGGCTGGAGTGCAGTGGTGTGACCTTGGCTCACTGCAACCTCCGCCTCCCGGGTTCAAACAATCCTCCCACCTCAGGCTCCCGAGTAAGGCCCATCCCAGGGAGAGCCGGAGACAAGGAGGCCCTGGGCTTAGGAGCTCTGGCTGCATCCACCGTAGAGAGGTTAAGAATCCCCTTCCTGCTATGGGGCTGCTGCAAGAAGCAAAAGGGAAGGTGCCCGTAGCCTGCAAAGCACCCTACAAAGGCAAGGGACTGGCCTTCCCTCCACATTGTGAGTTCCACCTTCTTGAGATCCCACCTCCCACCAGGAGCTGCGGGTGCTCAGCCAGTGGCCCGCCCAGTGAGTGGGTGGCCACTTGGAGGCTCTCAGGACACAACACCTCCACACCGTGGCTCTTCATACCCGATGGCGTCACGCAAGGAGACGACGGCCCCGGGTCCAACACGGGCCAGGAAAGCAAGAGAGATGTGGGCATGTGGTCAGAGAGGAAAGGAGGCGGTCACCGTGCAGGACCATAGGGCCCTGTGTGGAGGAGGGGGCGAGCCAGATGGTGTCCTCTGCCCCTGGTACTTGCTCTCCTCTGCGCTTGCCATTAGGCACATGGGCCTGGCAGGGACAAAAAGGGCACCGGTTCTGACTCAGCGGGAGCAGTGAGCCTGGAAGAGCCACCTCCTCCCTCTGGCCCGACAGCAGCCCAGAGGCCATGCCCCACTCCTGCTGACCCCACAGGCCCAGTCCCCTCGGTAGGAGGGTCCTTGTGTAGTTCCAGGGGAGGGTTGGCTGCTCCCCGCCTCTCAGGAGTTCTTGCCACAGGAAACCTGTTCTGCAGGAGCCAGCCTGTCTGCAGGAATGGCCAAGTGTCCTCTCCACGCCAGAGCAGGTCCAGGCACCAAGCTCAGCTTCAGGGCACCCTGGGCGGGGCTGCGTCCTGGGAGGAGAGCAGGGCTGCCCTAGAGAAGGAAGGGGGAGACGAGGACAGGAGAGCCCTGTCCTTACGGGCTCCTTGGAGGGGAGCCCAGAGACGGGAACCCGGGCTACCAGCAAGTCTGGCCCTATGTCTAGGGTGGAAATGAAGTTAGGTCCCACGAGAGGCCACTGGCTGAGGCGAAGCCGGCAATGGCGGCGGGGACTGAGGGCCGGAGGATCCTCCTCCCAAAACCACCCTGCTGCCCTCCCACCCAGCCTCCGTCTTTGGGCCTCCCCACATTGCACCCTCTCCTCCCAGGACTCCCCACCACACCCTTCTCAGGCCATCCAGACGCAAGCAGCCCCCTAAAGCAGCTCTGCCCCCCACAGGCCACCACTGCCCTCCTTCACCCAACTGCACTTTGCCCCTGACCTCCCGAGGGTGCCTGTGTACCTGTCCATCTCCCCCACCTACCAGGCTGAGGTCCAGCCACAAGGCAGGGCTGTTCTCCCGGCCACCCTCAAATTCGTTGGGGTTAGTCACAGACAACACTTTGGGCAGTCAGGCCCACTGACTGAGAAACCTCACAGGGCTCCTGGCAGAGCCGCCCTTCACCCTACGCTCAGCCTTGCAGGGTCCACGTACTTGGACGGGTCGGCAGGTGCTGGACTCTGGGCTCAGAAGCAGGAGCGTGCAGCTGGCAGCCCAGGGCTCCCGGGGCAGGAGTCCCAGCCCTGCTCTTCCTCCCGGCCGCCTGACTCCGTTTCTGCGTGTGCCAGAGCTCAGCGCCAGTGGCCTGTGGAAACCTTCAGCCCTGTCTTTGGTCCTGGGATTTTCTGAGTGCAGGGAGTGGGTTGAGGGAAAATGTGCTTCCAGGTCAACGTGCCTTCCTCTCGCTTGGACATGCTCACCAGTCAGTCATTCATCAGTGACCCTCTCCTCCCGTGTCTGCAGCCAGGCCCAGGACAGCTGTCATAGTTAACCCCGTTTCAGAGGCTGGGAAGCCAAGGAATGAAAAGAAGGAGCCGCTCCTCAGAAGGGAGGCTGGAATCAACATACAGAGCTGAGACCCGCGTGGCATTCATCCCACACCAGCTGCCCTGGGTCCAGGAGCTTCCCCGAGTGCGTCAGGCTCCTGATCCCAACCAGTGGTGCAGGGCTCCTCGGGCCCCTCCTTCCCCGCCCACCCGGATCGTTACCCAGGGTCCATCCCCCCTGGACTCGGACATCTTTCAAACCCCACTTCCAAGGATTCTACGCCTTTTCCACAAATATTTTTTCAGGTCTCTTCTTGGATCCCCCGCTCTCGGGTGGAGGTTTCATTGTAAAAGACACACGTTTGCCGTTTTCCTCCAGCACTGAAGCTTCCCCAGCCACCACATCCCACTTTCTTATGAACCCAGATGTCCTCCGCCCCTCACCCCCAGCTCCAGTTTCATTCTGTTTGCATTTTTCTAGGACAGGCTCTACTCCCACAGCCCCTTCTCCTCAACTGGGTGACATTTAAGAAGCGTTGGCGTTGCTGCTGGCCCAGAGGCTGGGACGTCCTGGACCGGCCTGGCCACGTCTCCTCCTTCCTCCTCTCTTGGGATAAGATGCTCTCAGCCCTTTCTGCACCGCCGCAGCTTACCTTCCCTCTCCTTCCCACAGTCTGGTTGGGCCAACCTCGGCTTTCCCAGCCCCAGAGCTGTTTCTCCTTCCTGCTTCCTTCTTTCGGGAAGTTGCTCTCCCTTGCTCTGGAGCCTCAAGCTGACTTTCATGAGAAGTCACTAGTTCATACCTTCTTCATGATGGTGGGACACTGATGTGATGTCCACAAGCCCCCTGGACACAGCTCTGTGCTGGGTGCACACTGGCTTTGGGGTTCACACCACCCTCTGTGGTGGGATTTCCAAGAAACCCCCCCTACCACCACCACCAGGGCCCAGTAAAGTCAGCTGCCACCAGCTTTATCCTGAACTCAAACATCCACTGTAGCTCGGCCACACTTCAGTGCCCAAACTAGGCAGAGCCACGTCAAAGCCACGGCTGCCCCCATTACCCGAGGAGGACAGGTGATGTGCCCTTCCTAGGTGCCAGGTGCTGTGCTATGGGCTTTGATGCGTGACCTCATTTTCCCTCTCCTTTTATTCTTATTAAAATAAGGGTAAGCAGGTGAAGTAATTGAGGCTTAGTGAGGTCACAAAACCAGTTCATCAAAGAGGTGGAAATGTGAATCTAGGTTTGCCTGATGCCAGAGCCCAGGCTCTTATCCAGGGCGCCCTAGCGTCTGCTCATCATCTGATAGCTTCATCCTTCCTTCATAAGCCGTGGAAGGCAAAACTCAGCCCCAGCAGCCCCGGACTGGACGGCGACGCTTTCTAGCGCAGAAGCCCAGCCCAAGGCCCCAGTGTTGTTCTGCACCCTCAAGTGGAGAAGCACATTCACAGCTTCCCCCAGGCTTGGCACGGGCAGGGGACTATGGCCAGGAGTGGGAGGGAGGGCACCTGCTATGCTGGGAAGAGGTGGCAGTCCAGGCCCGGCTCTGCCTCCCACCTGATGTTTTTATAATGGCATTTGTAGCCTTGTATTTTATTCAAGATAAAATGTTTGAAAGTAACCCATGCTTCTTTAAAATTTTTAGAAATATTCCAGAGTGTATAAAACACAAAAATTCCTTCCACACTTTCTCTCCACTTCCTGGAGATAATCATTGCTAATACTTTTTTCAAATATTTACCGATACTTATCGTTGACAGCATTTATGCTCATTGCTGAGGGTTTTTTTTTGTTGTTGTTATTGTTATGCTTTAAATTCTGGAGTACATGTGCAGACCTTGCAGGATTGTTGCATAGGTGCACACATGTCGTGGTGGTTTGCTGCCTCCATCCCCCTGTCACCTACGAGTCAGTTTTTTTTTTAATTTAATTTTATTTATTTGAGACAGAGTCAGACTAGAATGCAGTGGCGTGATCTCTGCTCACCACAACCTCCGCCTCCCAGGTTCAAGTAATTCTCCTGCCTCAGCCTCCCAAGTAGCTGGGATTACAGGCATGCGCCACTACACCTGGCTAACTTTTGTATTTTTAATAGAGGCAGGGTTTCACCATGTTGATCAGGCTGGTCTTGAACTCGTAGCCTCAAGTGATCCGCCTGCCTTGGCCTTCCGAAGTGTTGGGATTACAGGTGTGAGCCACCATGCCTGGCAGTTTTAAAATTTTAATGCAGTCATCTGGTTACTGTACAGTTCAGTGAAATACACTTCTGTGAAATCCTTGGAAGCAATTTCACCAAGAGCTTGCTATCATTTGATCAGTCCCTATTTATGTGAGTCTATCATTATCTTAACTTCCGGAACATTCTGTGACAAGCTGGCGTGGGCTTCCCCCTTCCCTGATAACTCAGCCTCTCTAGGTTGAAAATCTCTTTACTTCACCTTTGACTTCTCCCTCCCTTTTTAATTTCTCCTTTGTGCTTTTATGTCTGTGTTCTCCTTGACACGTGTGGAAATAATGATTCGATTCCTGAAGATCATTAGCCTTACTCTTCTCAAGAGCTTCCTGCGCAGGTTTTGGTTTGTGTTTGCTTTGTTCTTAGCATGACTGACTACTTTTTGGCATCTTAAAAAGAGAGAGCCCCGCTTTTCCCCTTCCTCCAGCCTCGCTTTTGTTACACGTTAATATCTTTCTGTTCTGGTGGGAGTCGCCTCATCTTCCCCGCCCCTGCCACACACATCAGCTTGATTCTGTTCCTCTCCATGACTTGATTCTGTTACTATACACAGATGTCTGCTTTGCCACATGGCACTCTCTGGTTTTCCTTGCCCACAGTCCTCGCTGATACCAGCCCATTTTCTTTTCTTCAGCACATTCCAGGCTGTGCTTATTTACAGTCAAAGCAGCGTCTGGAACTCCAGTCCTCTGAACTCACTTGAAATATTTGGATTCACTGTCCTGTTGTATTTGCTTCCCAAGCTAGAACGTGTTCTCCTACGATACGTCTGAAATCCTTTCCTCAGGGTATAGTTTATACGTATAGGATGCAGAGTTTTGCAACTCGGACAGCGCTTTTTCCCAGTGGCCAGCACGTTGAACCCCAAACACGGGCTCTTCCCGTGTCATACAGCTTCCTTTCCACCTCCTATGAAGAGGGTGTCTTCTCTCCCGAGCCTTCTGTCTGCAAAGGGAAGGCCACTACTGTTCACACCTCAACTTCTCAGGGAGCCAAAGCTGCTCCATGGAGATCTCGGTGGAGTCACGCCACGCTTCCCGCTGGGCCATCCCACCGGGCGACAGAGCCCCCACAAATGCTGACCTGCTGCATCACATTAGCAAAAATGCCTGTTCCAGCTTCTAATCCCTCTTCTCCCAAGAACTCAGACCAGGCACGAAGCGTTGGGGTCTGGGAGAGAACATGCAGCGTGGGAGGGAGGCATCTGGCTGAGGGTGGGCATCAGCACCCCCATGTCTCACCAACAGCGGTGTTACTGGACAAGTCCCGAACCTCTGCCTTTCTTCCCTCAGGCTCAGAACCTCCCTGGGCTCCATGCAGAGAGTGTCTGGGTCCTGGCAGGAAATACGCCCGCGAGCTCCTTGGCAGTAGCACTTTGCCGAAACCACCCTGAGGTCTCGGGCCAGGCGTGAAGCTGACACAAAGTAGACTTGCAGTGCGTGTTCATTTGTTGAATGCTAAGAAAAGAGTGGATGGCCGGATGGATGAATACAGGAGTGAGTGGAATACAAAGCTCTGCTAGCATTCCTTCCCCCACCCACCAGTCCATTCTGCAAAACAGAGTCCACCCTCTCTGTGGATCCGAAATGCACATGGAACCTCATTTCCACACGTGGCTGCCTTCACACGTGTGCCGGACGCATCTCAGGGGAATTCCTGCGAAGGTTCCGCGGGAGAACTTCCTTCCCTGGGGCCTGCCACCTGCAGCCTCACAGCCCCTGCTCCCCCAGCCCCGCCAAGAAGCCATGTGTGAGCTCTTGTCCATTCTCTCCTTTCCTCTGCGGGATTCTCCACCCTAACCAAATTCCTCAGGACTCCCTGCAGCCAGGAATGGCAGGAGAATCTGGGGAAAGCAAAAGCAGCTCCAGAGAAGCCCTTTCTCCTCCCCGTTCCTTTAGGGTTCCTCCCTTCTTGCCTCCAGTTCTCTACTGTGTGTTCCTTCTTCCTCATTACCAAGCTCCCCTTGTGGCAGAGACTCACCCATGGCGTGTCCTCAGCCAAACTGGGCAGGAAAAGCTCAGCACTTCGCACACCCCACTCCCTCATTTCCTCCCTAATGGCCTTCGTCCCTGAGTTCTCTTGGGCCATGGACTCCCTCACTCCTGCCCCTTCCTCACCATGGGCACCTGCCGCCTTTCTGAGGGCGCCCCCGAACTGAAGCTCCAAACCCAGCCTTTCGCTGGCAGCAAAGCTCAGTCTCAGGCTGGTGCCTTCCCACCTCCTCCACGCACCTTTAGAGATGAGGTGAGAAGCTATCTGTTCTCTTCAGTTTACACATGCAGAAATGAATACACAAAAATACCAAGAGGCGGCCGGGAGTGGTGGCTCACGCCTGTAATCCCAGCACTTTGGGAGGCTGACGCAGGCAGATCACGAGGTCAGGAGATGGAGACCATCCTGGTCAGCATGGTGACACCCCATCTCTACTAAAAATACAAAACTTAGCTGGGCGTGATGGCGCACACCTGTAATCCCAGCTACTCTGGAGGCTGAGGCAGGAGAATCCCTTGAACCTGGGAGGTGCAGGCTGCAGTGAGCCCAAATCACACCACTGCACCCCAGCCTGGGGACAGAGCAAGACTCCCTCTCAAAAAAGAGAGAAAAGAAACACCAAGAGGTTTGAACTGAATTGTGTCCCTGACAAATTCATAGGCTCAAGTCCTGCCCCTCCATGGTATTTGCAGGGGGCTCATCTCATTAGGGTGAGTTGAGGTCATGAGAGGTGGGGCTCGTGGAAGTCACCATACAGATGAAAAGTGTATCCCTAGTAACACAAAGTAATAGTGACTACTTATGGCGCTCCTAAGATGTGAGAGGCCCGGCCGCTCTTTGGAGCCTTCTCATGCCTTAATTCATGTCACTCTTGTCACCTCTGACCTGGACGCTGCCATGGTGCCACTGTACAGATGAGGATCTGAGCCATGGCAGCTGCAATTGCATGATGCACATGAAACAGCTGAAAGCAGAGGTGGGGAAAGGAGGGAGGCTGGGTGGCCTGGGCGCCTGCCCTTCACCTTCCCTCGCCCCCACACACCCTCGGAGGACCTCTGCAGAACCCAAGGGTTTCGAAGAGCAGAGCTCAAAACCACAGCCGTAAATAACTAAGGCAGGCTCTGATGGAATGAGGAAACGGGAGTGCACTTTGCCACATTGCTTTGCCTGCCTTAAATCTCTCACCAGGGTCCTGAGCCCACGCCCTAAACCTTCCTGCCTTCCCCACACATCCCCCGTGTGCCCGCAGGTGACCCATCGTCACGGGGCTGCTTGCGCCACACGTGTGGGTACAGACACATGCACACGCACGTGCCTGCCTTCCTGCATTAAATGCTAAGGTTTTCTTCTGAAGCAGAAACTTCAAAAGCTGGAATTGGAAACAGAAGCTCTTCCTGCTGCTTGGGGAACTCCTTATCCTTCAAGGAAGATCGACTTGTTCTCTCAGAGATAATTATCCTGCCCCTTTGGTTGTGGAGGCTTAGAGTAACAAACCGTCCTACTTAGCTAATCATCGAATGCATCTTGGTATAAAAAGAGCTGTAGCATGTGGCCAAGCCCCTCTACTTCCCCCTTACTTCATACTTTTCATACTTTTGAGACAGAGTCTCACTCTGTCACCCAGGCTGGAGTGCAGAGGCACCATCTCGGCTCACTGCAATCTCTGCCTCCTGAATTCAAATGATTCTCCTGCCTCGGTCTCCTAAGTAGTTGGGATTATAGGCACGCACCACCATGCCCAGCTAATTTTTGTATTTTTAGTAGAGACAGGCTTTCACCATCTTGGTCAGACAGGTCTTGAACTCCTGACCTCAGGTGATCTTTCCATTTCAACCTCCCAAAGTGCTAGGATTACAGGCATGAGCCACTGCGCCCAGCCCATATTTTCCGTCATTTTTTTCAAAACATCAAGCATCAAGTTTGAAAGGTCAGTGGATCATACAAATAAAGCCCTCCCAGAACCAACCCCCATTCTCCCTCCCCGCCCTCTCTCCTCCCTTCCCCTCTGTCCAGACCCTTCACCTGCACCTCTCACCACCCAACACCCCCAGCACAGGCGGGGCCCGTGAGTGAGCTCCCAGCGGGCTGTCAGGGAAAGTTCCAATCCCTACATATTTCGCAAGAAATAACCCTTTCCCAGGAAAGCAACAAGAATAGATTTTTATTCATTTGGCTGCTTTTATCCTGAGACCTATTTCTGGTCTGCATTGGTTTAGGGCTGAGCGTTTAATACTGGTTTAATCCCACTCGCTGTCAGGAACTAAGCACAGGCCACGTTAATGCCCCTTACTTGGCCCCTTTGGAAACACATCGATGGAGGTGCTCAGCAAGGCTCAGGAGCTGACCTCTGCAGCCCCGGCAGCCATAGAACTCGATTGTGCTGAGAAGGCAGCTCTGGCAGGGCAGGGTAGCCCTGGGCTACCTGGTGCAAACTGCAAGACCTGATGTGAGGACGTGCCCTGCACAGCCTCCGCACAATCCCATTGTTTGGCTTGGGGGATCCGTGCTGCAGGTGAGGGCCGACCAGGTAAGAGGACTGACTCCACGTGATGACCAGGCAAGAGGCCACGCAGGGCGGCAGGCTCCGGGGAGCGTGCTCACGTGCCGGCTTTTTACGTGACGATCTGTCTGTCAGAGTTCAATTAAACCAATCACTGCTCTGTTCCGGGACAGTGATCTCCTCCCGGAATGTCAACTCCAGCCCAGCCCAGGACACAGCCCTGTGTGAATCTTGATGCGTCACATGAGACAGACCAAAAGTCACCCGAAGAGCTGGGCCAGGCAGCACATCTGGAGGAGGCCATCAAGAGGCGGTGGGAAAGGCAGGCCCAGGGCTCCTGCTCCTGCGGGAAATCCCTCCGTCTGTGGGGAAGCAGGGAGGCTGACTGAGAAAGGGTGCTTTCACCCCGTGGTCAGTGGGAGTTGCAGCACAGAGCAAAGCCTATCTACTGTCAGGTCAGTCCGGGCCTTGGATGCGAAACGAAGCAGCAGTATCTGGTCGATTCCATGGGCAGGACACAGATAACACTGACGTGCTCGTCCACGGTTCCTCCACATCCCCAGTAGCTCACCGTCGCATCCTCCATCTCCGTTTGGTCGCAGTTGCTCATTGGAGTGTGAACTGCAAACATCCCAGCTCCACAGCATATCTTGTGCAGCCCCTGCAAATCCAGGCACATCTGATCATGTCCAGAAGACTTGTAGGGAGCCCGTGATGGAAAGTCACTGGCAGGAAATTTTGATGCTGGGAAAAAAGACCCCAAAGTTGAGCCAGGCAAAGAGGCCAAATGAAAAGATGGCCCGAGACAAGGAGAAGCCAAGGAGTTTGCTCTGTGAGGCGTTGTGGCGGGGGTGCGGGGGAGGGTGTCCCAGCAGACATTTTTAAATTCTTCCATTTGTGTGTTTCCCAGGTAATCCTACAAGTCGTGCAAGGAACCCTCTCCCATCAGTGGGTGATGGTCGAGGTCCTGACGAAGTGCCACTGGCCGTGCTCCAAGAGCGGGGCCGCCCTCCCAGGCTCCTCCTTCCACCTCTCTCCTGAGCCCCCCACACCCTCTCCCCACCTGGCTCCTCCAATCTGCCCTAGTTGGGCTGTCAGCCTAAATTTCAAATTCGGCTTCGAGCCGGGAGTATCTTTCCGATCTCCACGGGTTCTTTACTAAGGAGAGAAGTCCTCTCTTCCCCCGAGACCTGCCGGCACATACCATCTCGGCAGTTCCTGGCCTCTCTCTAAGGAGCCTGCACTGGAGTCCCTGCTGGTGCCCGTAATAGAGAACTGGGGGTGAATACTGCGACGTACTGGAGGGCTTCCAGGAAGCTGGGTCCGTGAGCCCATGCCTCCTGAGGCCGACACAGCACATATGGTATGGGGACAGGTTCTCATTCTTGCAGAGATACGGACAGAGGAGAAGCCTGGTGGTCAGTGTCCACCGGTGCCAAGCCTCAGCAGCTGCTCCCAAGGGCCAGCATGGAAGTCTCCAGCCACCACTGAGCCACATGGCAAATGAGGACAGTGGGGAAAAAAGAACACAGGCAAATAAAACAGGCACTTGGGCAAGGCCATTTGAGGCGTAGCAGGGAATGTTTTGAACCAGAACTTGAAGGAAGGGTGAGGTTCCAACAGTCCTTGTGCAGTTGCTCTTTGATGACAATGTGATCCTCTCGTGCTGTTTACTTGGCAAACACCGAGTGAAGTCGGTGCGGCAGAGGGCCTGTCCTGTCTAAGGGGGCTTGACGGGGAAAGAAGTTGAAAACAGCCCTGGCTCTTGTGAAACTAAGATGGAAAGGAGCTAAAGGAGGGAGTGAAACAGAAGTCATGGGAGGAAGCAGAAGGTTAATTAAAAGTGCGTATTCAGGGAAGCCCTGACAAGGAAATGGAATTTGACTTTCAACTGAGGGGCGGGAAAGGGTCAGCACTTAAAGGTTAGGCGCAGGTTGTCCAGGCAGACAGACGACTTAAGCAAAGTCACAAAATGTAGGAATCAGGTCAAGGGTGTTGCTCAAGGAGCAGGAAGCAGGTTTGAACATCGTCTTTTGGGGAGAGTGATGGGTTCACAGCGAGGTAGGCAGGAAACAGTCACACATGGCAAAGAGAGGCCATCAGAGGATTTTGAGTAAGA